CGCAAGCTCAAATCGAAGAACACTCTGTGAACGCAAGAAACTTCTATCTGAATTACTTTTTTACTCATCAAAAGTGAATTGACATTCACTATTATTCTAAGTAACATTACCGAACGATCTCGACATTTTACAGTCAAAGGTAGACTACTTCGTAATGACTCATTTTGAAAATACATTCCAAATATTCATTACAATTTCCTAAAAGACTGTAACGTTAATGCACAAGACATAAAAAGGACATGCATAAAACTACATATATCACGAGCACACCAACACATTAACAACCTTAAAAATACCCTGTATATATCATCGTATTTGTATATAAATGCTTTTATTGGTGTTGAATTGAATATATGTTTTGTCTTATTTATATTGAAATTGTTTATTTGTTTGTGGATGCAGAAAACTTCACGCAACCTAACATAAAAATTCCTTCTGATTCAACTCAATTCTACTGCAAATTCCTTAGTTTATTCTGCACATTCCCAACAATGTAACTTATCTTCAACAAAGAGAGATAATCGCCTTCTGCATCCCTACAGTATTATATGAAGATTTATTTTATATTTATCAGCACAGTACATTTTTAAACATCACACAAAAGAAAACCAATATACACCTAAATCAATTATACCGATATAAGCAGGTAACGAACGTTGTCGTAAGATAAACAAGTCATCCATAACTGATAACCCTCATACGAGTTCGTTAACTAGGGCAATTATCTCCCTTACATTTTAGTCTTCTGTAGTAGAAATACAATAAAGATTACTCCTTGTCTGTAAACACGTGTATTATCTTCATGTCCGTTTTACTTATTTCCACAACTTTTTTTTTTTATCCTCATTACTAATATGGCAAATTTAACTCTGTTTTCATTCTTCCATTCATCTCCATTCGCTCAATTTCCTTTCTTTCCCTTCTTTTTTGCTCAATTCCTTTCCTTCGTCTTCCATGCCTTCTTTCCTTCGTCTTCCATGGCTTCTTTCCTTCGTCTTCCATGGCTTCTTTCCTTCGTCTTCCATGGCTTCTTTCCTTTCCCCTTCTTTCACTGGGCGTCTTTCAGTCAACTCTTTTCCCCTTTTTTCTTCTTTCACTCGGCTTTCCTTTCCATTTCGTTTGTTTGAGCAATTCTTTTCACTCGGCTCCGTGCTCTTGGCTTGCGTCTAGATTTGGCAAACTGGCATCAAACTGCTGTCCTCTACTTTTTAACAAAAGCCAAATCAGGCCGGAAAATGGAGGTACTTGTCATATTGGGGCAGGAGCTGCCCAATCCTCACTTTCCAGTTTTGATAGAATTTAAAAACGTCTCCTATTCCTTGTGTGTAACAAACTATTTTTCTACCCACCACCCCAACCAAACTTTCTTTCCCAGGCAGGATATAACAAGCCACATTGCTATATTGTTATGTTAATTAATTCCATGGAAAATACTCAGGCGAACTACATTCCTTGTTTCTACCAGTTCAAATCTTCACGGCTTCAATTTATATTGTTGCAAACCACCCACCCACATTGCCTCTATTTCATCAGTGAAGTTCCACTTGAACAGCTTTTTCTTACTAACCACTGCTCTGGAGAACTGACTCCCAAGAAGATGATTCCTTGATCACTACAATCTTAAGTCTTCTTAACCTATAATTTATTGTCTATGGTTTAACCATTATTTTCCCTACCTATCTGTATAAACGGCCTCTTAATGTAATTTTCTACCACAAGTGTCCTCCCACCACCGGGTCTTGTACTGGGTGACCCTCACTGTATTAAAAAAAAATCTACATTACACACCCATCAAAATCTTTCATCTTTTCACAACTGAGAGATTGAGATACGTCCTACATTTAAAAGTTGTTACAGAATAATTGTATACATAGATATTTGTTAAATTTGAGTTAGAATAAAAATAGGTATAAAAGTAAAAATTTAATAAACATCCTGCAAATTACCAAACTTGACACACATTTGTAGCCAGATTGAATGTTGAGTTGTTAGTGTAAGTTACCTCACGTTATATGTATTAGTAGTTGATAGAGGATCCCCTTTTTTTTCTTTTTTTTTATACTGAAAATGAAATGAAAACATACAACAATAAGAATTTGAGATATGTTGAAATTAATGACAAGAACGTGTAGTTTTAATTTTGTAATGTTAATTAGAATATTGATTTTGTGTGTGTTAAATTTTCTTGGGGGTTGTCTTTTTTTGCTTCTTTAAAAGTTGGGGCTGACTTAGAGAATTTTGTGGTTAAGGGAAGCTTTTGAAACCATCATCTATGGATTTTTTACAGAGCAAAGAAGATATGTCTGTATGGGTTTCTTAACTACTTGTTTTGCTTATGATGGAAGGGTTGCTTTTATAATTCTGAAGTTCTAGAATGATAAAATATTATCATCATCATTAATCATAATGCACTTAATAATAGAAAATAAAACTGATCCCCCCACAAAAAAATATAATCATTGGGATGCCATGTGTTTCCATAAAAGTTCTTTACTCTTTGGGAAATGGAATCAAAAGAAAAAAATGGAAATTAGGTGTAGTCATATTTTGCCAAGATCATTGCAAAATTGTCTTCCTTTCTCATATGTATTCTATAATCTTGGGTTCTACTCGGAATAACTTTTTTTATGGCTTTGCAGGTTATTTAAAGCCAGAAAATATTTTTAGATTGTAAGAAATATTTTAGGAGGTAATAATGATTTATTGATACAAGTCCTACTAATTAATCCACAGCTGAGGGGAGAAGAGGTGGATTCAAACCTTACCCAAGGGTATTTGTGTGTGTGTGACTAGAACAAGTATGACTGGAATTGGAATTCGGTTTTCTAATTTCCAATTCTGAGCTGTTATCCATTACACCACCCACACACCCAAACATACAACACCTTAGGCATAGGCTTGATGCTGCTTAACTTTGATGTTCATATGTGCTTCAACATGATATGGCCATAAGCTTTGAAGAACTTTATACCAATGTATTTCTTTCTTCATGTACCAATTTCCAATTCTTATTGAAACAGTATGGGCAAATAGTTACGGTTCGTGTATAGTATTTACTCCTTGTCAAATCACACAACCACTGCTTTTAGCATTTATAAGAGGTTAATTTAGAAACAATGAAAAAGATGCCTAGTTTGGCATTGCTGAGGTCTTACCCCAGCCTCATGCCAGATATCAGAATAAAAAGAAAGGCAGATTGATTTTTTTTTCTTTCTTGAATCAATTGCCAGGTCTGCTGCTATGGAAGTTAGTTCACTATTTTGTGCTAGACAATTTTTCATGTCAGAATCTTGTCTTGCATCTTTATAAGTCTACCATTTGTCTGTACATTAAATATTGCTGCCACATCTAGTCTGGTACTTCTATGTATCTAGAGATTCTTGACAAAATCTAAAGAATTTGCAATATTATCAGTCCTAACCTGGCATCTCAGATTCAGTCACTTTCCCAATGTCATAAGGTAGCTTTCATCTGCCTTTTCTATAAATACTTTTATTATAATTGTTTTGATGAGATTTTGTCTTTGATTCATCAACTTCATGAATGCAAGCAAAGTGACTAGATTGGCAGATTGGTCTCGTCCTTTTTACTGTTGAAAAAAGATGTAACCGTAAATTATATTCTAAGAGTTTCTTCTCTCACACTTCTCACCTGTGGAAATCACAACTGGTTTCTAGTTTTCCAGCCAACTACAATCTTCAAAAATTTTAATGCAACATCAATTGCCATCTTTTGTCTTTCTGAATTCTGTTCTTTTATTGTCCTTTCTCAGATTCTTTCACTCTCAGTGGCTTTATTACCTTGCTTGGTGTGAAAGAATTAAAAAGAAGAAAAAAAAAAAAAAAACTCAAATGACTGAAACAACACAAACAAGATTTTTATTGCTGGTAATATTTTTTTCCAAAAGTATTTTTGGTAATATTTTTTTTTTCAAAAATGTTTTCCTGGCATTAAAAACTATTTTACACATTTTGACTCCAGTTTGGCCGTTAACTAATTGCCCATAGATGGAACCCTAACCACCCCAGATCAGGGGGAGGGACTTGGGAACACCAGCAAAGCCTCCTGATCAGAGGCCTTGCTGTTGGATGTAGTTTATCGTCATACTCAGGATGGTTTTAAAAAAGAAAAAAAAGGGAGACTGAAATCTATTTGGATTATATTGGCAGATGAGTACTACTTAAATAGACTGGTCCATTTGTAAAAAAAAAAAATAAAAAATAAAAAGAATAAATAAAAAAAATGTTGGAAAATTTTTTTTGTTGCTGGTGTGCAAGGGGTGATTTTTGTACATTAGCATTTAGATTGTACTTAAATTACCATTAGTAAATTGATTGAAGTAATCCAATGACTTGACACAAAGAGTTAGTAGTTCAATACCTAGCCACAGAAAAGGTGAACAAAAACTTGGAGCGTTTAGTTACTAAAAGGGAAATAACTGAAACTGGGAATCCAAAAGAGGCATGACATTTGGAACTAGAACAATCTATCCCGATGGATGAAATAAAGGGTTTGGTTTGAAATTCGAAGCGTGAATATGACAGCAAAGATGAGGACAACAGTTCGAGCAATGTAAATAGTGTAAATTTGTCAATCTCATTTTATGACAAAGCCCCAAAAGTCACAAGTCGAATTCAAGATTTAGTAACATTTTTTTTTTTATTATTAAACCCTTTTGCTAAAAATGTGTAAATAAAGAATATAAGGTGGGGGGGATATAACAATGAACACAAGTGGATGATTCCTGTTTATAATATCAATACAATGTTTTATTTTTTTAAAATTTTACAAAGATAGATTTTTTTTTATATTCTTTATCTGGAGTGTTTAATCTATATTGTAATACAATAAAAATTTTTGTAGAACTACTAAATATTCATTCTTCAAACTTTTATTAAAAAAAGTCCCCGAATTATTTTCACGTCCAGACAACAAAAACATTCAGTAAAAATCTTCAGCCAATCGACATGTTTTTTTTTTTTACATATGGTGTAATGTCGTTATGTGATTTTGACAAAATGTATGTTGTAACAATTCGTAAGTTTGAGCTTGTTTATAAGAAAGACGCAAACATAATTACTGTCGACTGAAAATACTCTGAAGCCAAGGTCATAGAGATCTCGTAGCAGATGAAGCGATGAAAAATATTGGTTTGTGAGCCATGCAATTTCAAATTTTTGGGTATGGAACTCGATCAACAACTGTTGCACGTCATCTAACATGTTTTTGAGAATGCTGTGATGGAGAGACCGCCATTCCCACATCTCAATGTCAATCTTCAAAATAGCCAATTTTGTCTTCAAAGAGAAAAAGAAAAAAAAGGTTATTTAATCAGGATTAACCATTATTTAATATGGGAAATTTAAGAAAATTAATCTTGTTTTAAATTCAGCAATATGAAATAAAATTTTCCAATTAAAAAAATAAATAAAAAAAGAACAACTGCAGAAGTGATTTTTTTCCCCCTTAAATTTTGTTGATTATAAATATAACAGCTTTATTCTACCAGTAATGCATTCATCAATTCCTGACCACTGACAATCCCTACATACCTGAATGCTAATGCATTTCTATAATTATTTACAATCTGTTCTCATAATTAAAACTTGAACAATGCATTTGTATATATACAGAGTGATTGAAAAGTAACTCCTTATTTTATATATGAGTGGCCACCCAGGAGTCCTGACTTAATACCCTGTGACTATTTTCTTTAGGGGGTTGGTTAAAGGAGCAAGTCTGCTATATCAAACCATGACTATGGAAGAACTTGAATGTAAGGTTGCTAGATAAAATTTTTTATTTAAAGCCAAGTAATATGTATAAAAATCCAGAAAAAAGACAAATTAAAATTTTTGTATAAAGCAAGAAAAAGGCTAAATAAACATGAGATTTTATTTATTAAACGCAGTGGGATTTTAGGCATTTTATAATGAAACCACTTCATTATTTTTTCAATTTAAAACATTTGTATAGTGATTTTTAAATAAAGTAATTCGGAAATTTAATCTATTTAGGTAACAATAGTCAAACAAGTCTGATTCACTGGAAAAATTAGTATTTTTTAGTGTTTTCTTTTTTAGAATTTTAATAATACTTTATGATTAAAAACATTTTTAGATAAATTTTATGACATTTAAATTTTTTAATTGAAATGTTGTTTTTTATTTTTAACTTACTAAATCTAATGATAATAACTTTTAATAATAATAGTTTTATTAATTATACTTTTTTTTTTAGTATGTGTATCTGTAAGACTTTTCTTTTTATTTAAAGAACTTAATATTAACTTTGGAGAAGAGGGTTGTAGCATGTGAAAGACCAGGGAAAAAAATGGTCATTAGTTTATTTAGAGAATTATAAAAGAGAAATTTGGCATAGGTTTGCAAAAGAATCAGTTTTTTTTTTGTTTTGTTTTTTTTTAAAAAAGTAAATATCTGGAAAATTTTCCCCTTCTGAATAAAAAAAGGTCTGAAATTTCTATCACTGAGGATAAAAAAGAACAACATTGTAGCATAGCAACTGTAATAAACTATGTAAAAAAAAAAAAAAAAAAAAAGCCAAGAAAAAGTCAGACACCAGATCAATTCTCTGGTGCCAAACCAACATGAAAAAAGCCAGATTTCAGAAGATTAACCTTCAAAAGAGCCAATCTGGCAAACCTGCTTGAAGGTTGACTACAAGTTATGTCTTCCATACCACAAGAAGAGACTCTGCTGAAATCAGTTGATGTGATTCCTGGGCAGCTCGAGAAGCTGGTAGCAAAATCTGGTGCCCATATCAAATTTTAAATAAAACCTTATGCTAAACGCTTTCATCTTGTATCTATTGCTTGTAAAAATTATAGATAATAAATAAATCATTTTAAAATAGGGAACTACTTTGGACCAACCTGTAGTGTAGAATAAACTTTTCTATCTCAGTATGGCTGTGTTAATTCCTTATCATCAAAAACTGTTTTTCTCCTGATTTTCCCCCGATTATATGTTGAAACAAATTTTAGAGAAAAAAATAAAAAAAAGTGTCTGACAATCAATCCCCTTTACCATTTTCTAACTTACAACTTGACAAAAAGCAGATATAAATTCTTTCTATACAAACATATAAAAATGTAAAAAAAAAAGAAGAGAAATAACAGCTGAAACATAGTAAGTTGTAAAATTTGCATAAAAAATAATATGTCTTAAAAATTAAAAAGTTTAATATCAAATATTATATTACAATATTATATTATTAAAAATGAAAACATTATATTATTAAAAATGAAAACTGATAGAAAAAAGATTGCTTAATGATGTCGGCGACAGTTTTATTCTACTGATACAATGTGGGGCATACAGACAAAATATAGCATTTTTTATGCAAATTTATAAATGACTAGCAGTAGAGCTTGGCGTTGCTCGGGGATGTAACATCATAAAGACTGAAAAATAAAATTGACAAAGATTATTGTTTAAGGTTGACGGACACGCATGTCTTAATTAGTTTTTTTTTTTTTTTTACAAATTGGTCAAACCCAAACTCAAACAAAAACATTGTTTTCAATCATTATGAGTCTACTGATCGAATAGAATTTTATTATAAACAATTGTCTTGTAAATGGAATTTTTAAAGCATTCTGAATGTAAAAATAAAGAAAAAAATGTGCAAGACAATAAGAAACACTACCTGCCAAAAAAAAGTGAAGTCTTGTTGAAGTTGGTTGAAAAATGTAGGAAATCCGATCCCATATATAATTGAACACACACAAACAACCTGGGTTTTATAATAAGTATAACTCGATATGAGTTGTCCCCCTTTCATTCTCGTGATGCCTCTTAATCGTGTTTTTAAATTGATTTCGTGCAAAAACAATTGTGTTTTTCCAATTTTTGGCGTTGTTAGAACCACCACAAGGTAATTTTACGTAGTCCTGTGAAGTTTTGTTGAAATCGGTTGAAAAATGTAGGAAATCTGATCCAATATATAAACATACAGACACACACACGCACAATCTGCGTTTTATAATAAGTAAAATGAAAGAGTTTTTCTTTGAATAAGGCTTATAATAAAAAAAATAAAGTTTTAGAAGCTCATGGTTCAGAAAAAAATCTATTGAAAAATCAAGTTTTAGGATTTATTTTGAAAATTAAGTTTTTTTTTTTTTAAAATCACAAAACAAAAAATAAACAAACAAATGACACAGTTCATTTCAAAGATATTGTCATACATTGAAGAAGAAAAGAAATTTAGTTTTTTTTTTCTATTTGCTTAATTTTCATTTACTGCAAAAAAAAAAAAAAAAAAGTGACAGGCAAGTATAGTACAGTGGATGATTAATCAACGTTTGTTTTACCGTCAACGACACAAATTTGTTATTTCTTCATTTATGATTACAAAGAGAAAGATATGTTATGAATGAAACTTTTGTTGAGGTAATTGATTTTACTTTTAAGAGATCCTACAAGTGATATTATGGGTGATGAAAATAACAGCTGGTGTTAAAATGTTAATGTAATAATTGTTCATTGATTATATGTTGCGTCTCGGATACCAAAGCGAGCTGATTCTGAACAAAAAAAATATACAAGCTTTTATTCTCATAACCGGCTTGCTTCGTGCCATGTTGACATAGAGTTTCCCCCCCTTATTTATGCCCGTGCAGGTTTTCAGAACAAGGCTGGTCCAAGGGAGACAACTCATATCAAATTAACCATACAATACATGGCAGATGGGTGTGGTTAAGAAAAACAAAACAAAAAACAATAAAAATAAAGAACTAAGGGAGATAACCACTAAACACGTTGAGGATAATGATTGCAAATAGCAGCCGCTTTATTCACTGAAATTATTTCGATACAAACAAGAAAAATAAAATAAAATATTTTACACTGACATAGAAAGCATCAAAACAATAAGAAACTACTCAAATAGACAGTTACACACATAGGTAGAATTTTGAAAAGGTGGCCATTTATAATATCGATACAAAGTCAAATTAAGTCATTGACTTTTAAAGTCTATGCAACTCCACCTTTATTATGACTAATTTACGCACCATCATGAATTTGCTGGAAAATGAGCATAGGATGATAAAAACGGCCTTAAACTTGACGAAAATAAATTTTATTTGTCTAAATGTTTATGTTAATATCAAGAGGAAAGATCAAAGTATTTTTTGATTATTTCTTTTTTTTTTTCCATTTTTTTGTTAATCATTAAGCATGTCCAAAATTTTCGTTAAAAATCATGATTTTTTTGAGTCAGGAAAATTAACACAAAATCGATCGTCAGACTTATTTTTAATTTGTAAACTAAAGTGATTTTTTGAGTTTAAAATTCTGTCAAAATCAATTATACTGTTTATTTAAATTTATTTTGAACAAAATTAGAAATTAAAGTTTAATATATTTTAAAACAAACATTACTTTCTGCGCCCAAAAAATGTAGTTTAAAATAAGAGAAATCAGGTCTTAATAGCGGTGACGATTGACAAGTGAGGAAAGTTATCGTACGGAAGGACAGAAGTGACATAATTAAGCTTTAAGTGAACCATCTTATTTACCTCGTTATTTTTAAGGAAAAGTTTTCAGCGCTCTAACTGTTTTTGTTTTTTTGGTACTTAGCTTAGAAAAGTACCTAATTAATTAGGTACCTTTCTTAAGTACATATACATACATAGATGTATAAATGTACATTTTATTTTATGAACATTTATTACATTTTATGGAGAACAACGTTTATATACCAACGCCAACCACGTGACGTTCTATTGCATTCATGCTGCTTCCGGTCTTCCGTACATTTGAATTACCGCCGTTTTATGGACACACACACACACACGTACACACACAAATTATATTAGATTTTTACCTAGTTGAGGTTTGCTTATTGTAATAAACTTTACTATTTATAATCTGTAAATGATATGTCTACTTAACAGCATCGACTAAAGTGTACAACATTTCCATTAATTTTAGAATATCTAACAACTTTAATGTAATAATAATAAAATAATTTAAGAAATAACAAATAATTCTTGTAAATGTAAAGATTTATTTTTCCTCGAAAAAGTTTTATGCTTTCAGACAATATTATCCATATTCATAAAAACAACTAAAAGGAACTAAAAGCTTTTGAAATTAAATAATATCTTTGTTTTATTGAGTTTTTTGTATGTTACAATTCAGAGCTGATTTTAAGGTAAAGGGGATCCATTAAAAAAAACAAAACAAAACAAAAAATCCGCAAAAACAAAACGATTTACTTCCCTCAAAGTCTTGTGCTTTTTTGAAATAATTAATGACTAAAATTCTAC